GGTCATTGAAACAGTGCTGAATGGAAACCAATTGGGATTACGGACCCGGGTCACTGTGTCAATTCAGTGATTTATTGGAAGAACTCTCCCATCCCGAAATCTCTGCAATCTTCATGTCTGAACTCCAAGGATATTACTTCACGTCTCAATCGATTCTATTTGTATTTATGAACCTCATTTTAAATCATATTTCGTATCAGTGATGTGCCGTCCGTATTTTGTTCTAAATGCCAGAGCAGAACAAAAGACTCAACTTTGCCATTCCGAAAATAAGTCGCAGACATCCGGGTAATCTCTAGAGAGCGTTACGGGTTCCATTTCCTTTTCTTTCCTTTTCTTTTGCCGCCGTATGAATGCGGGCATTGTCTAAAAGCTTGGGTGATTGCCTTTATACTGGTATATGCTACCAATCGTTCGAACATTTAATTGAGCAGATACACGTGCATGCACAACTGAGCTGAGAAGCACTGCTCAGAACAATTTGGCTTCTGCGTGGACGTTCGGTGCTGTTTTAGATGAGTGATGTATCTGATTCAACGTTATTGATCGGTATTATAATAATGTGAATGCAATTGTTGCGGATTCGGTGACTTACATATACATTCATCTTTACCTATGAACACAATAATGAACACAATAAACAAACACTTAAAGCTGATATCTTTGGAATATTTCACCGATTACAATGCCATATTGGATCAGTTGCTTAGACGACGTGTTAAGTATTTACTTCGATATTTCGATGGCAATGAATGCCTTACATGGGAACACAGTTAGTAGACACAAGCCCAGACATACCCGAGACGAGTCTTATGTGAACAGAGCTACCAGTATACATATTAGCATGTAAATGGGAAGGAGGTCGCCTCTCAATGATGACGTATTATGTAGTCACACATTATTAAGTCACTAATACATGTAGGCAGCCTTTTGGGGGCAAGTGTGCAAAACCATGCAGGTGAAGCTGTAGTTGTCCAGGCGGTCCAGCGTTTTCCTAGAGCTGGCGGCAATGGAAGATATACAGGGTCATCATAGTGGTACTGTTGTGTGTGTGTATTATCAATACCATTTAAAATGACTGTGTGGTGATTTTGAGATCGCCTGCACACGCCTGCACGGGTGTGCTCATGTGCGCACATGTACATGCATCCTTCGTCATACGATTTTGAACAAATGCCAACAGACGCGACATATTGTGTCCATGTTCTCATGATTATGGCAATTAAGATAGGGATGCTGTGATCGTCTTGTGCATATACTGATTAAGCATCTATAAATTGGCAAGCAGTGTTGTGCCGGTACCAGTGGTTTAACGATGTCTGGAGTAGGTTTCTCCATGAAGGCAGTAACATTAATGCAGCGACAGTGAAGCAATATAACATTGGTTTGGATTCTCCTCAATATACACCACATCCCACAATTAATTAACCCCCTGTGATACTAATGATGGTGAGTTACTGCGATGTGTTTTAAGATGTTCCTTAGTGGTTGGTCAGCGCACATGTTAACATATGGTTTTGTTTACATTTCTTGTACGCATGAGTTATGAAAACAATGGTTCACAATACTATCAGTATTTCTATACAATGATGAAAAACATAAAACTCGAAGGAAAATAGGATCATTGTTTAGATGTCTAAGAGAGGGTCCGTTTGATTTCAGTCCATCATCTTTGTACAAGATGAATAATGGGCAATGGGTACAGATATGTGTAGTCCACTGCTTTTTCTTAACAGATATGAAAATAATAACATTTGGAAACACGCTTTGTGCGTGATTTGGAACGTGGATCCAAAGTATATGGCACTTATTTAAAAAAAACAAGTTGGTTGCTCCGGTTGCCACTGCAATAATGGTTTTTTGTCGCTTCAATTGTTTCACCTAAAGGTCAACTGATATCCGAGGCAATAAGAAGGTTGATAAGTGATAGAGGAAAAAAAGGGCTCCAATTTGTCCAAAATCCCCGATGACTCGGCTCTATTGGGAGACGCAATCCATCATACTTAAACAAATCTTGCATTAACTGGAATACTATATTGTCTTTCTGGCCACCGCTTTGCCGACGTTTATTCTGAGTGGTAGATGGAATCGGGTAATATTCTTGGCGTTCAGAAAAATAAGGTTGTTCTTCTGGTCAGTTAAATCTCGGACGTTAATCAGCGGTCAGTGAAAACTGGTGAATTGCAGCGGTGGTTATAAAACTAAATGAAATTGAAGCTTATAAAAGGGAAGTACTCTGTTTAATATTAAAAACACATAGAACTTTTAACTCCTATCAGATCACTTCGATCTAGTGGACAACTTCAACTTAAGCGAAAAGACACCAAAAAGACTCTTAAAACNGTCAGTTAAATCTCGGACGTTAATCAGCGGTCAGTAAAAACTGGTGAATTGCAGCGGTGGTTATAAAACTAAATGAAATTGAAGCTTATAAAAGGGAAGTACTCTGTTTAATATTAAAAACACATAGAACTTTTAACTCCTATCAGATCACTTCGATCTAGTGGACAACTTCAACATATGGACACAGAAGTTTCGAGATTTGTGCACCGATTTTATGGTCTAATTTTATCACAAGATCTAATGTGTCTCTGGATGACTCATATTACTGTTTTAAGAAGAATTTAAAAACTTTTTTATTTAAAAGATACTTTAATTTATAGCATCTTTTTAGTTTTTAAAATTTTTAAGTTTTCTGTTTTAGTCTATACTGGCTTTAATCTATCTGTGGAGTTTTTATTTTTTATGTAAACAACGCTAAGACGCATGTGTAGCGCGTTTTAAAGAAGTGTTTTATTATTATTATTTATTATTATTAATATTTAGTGCGTTCGCTGTTTCATTCACCTGTTTTATTTCAGGAAATACAGTTTTATTTTGTACTGCTCCGTTTGTAGCTTTCTAACCCAATTTGCATTTACCTAAAGATATGCAAGGCTGACTTGGGTCTGGCTTTACTATCGTTGCAAAACGTTTTATAGCAATAAACTCTCTAAACCTCTCGAGATGCATAAAAAATGTCTCGAATAAAGATTGGAAACGAAATGAAATCGCATTATCTAGGTTTATTATGTCTTATGAGACGTCTTCGAAAAGGTGTCATGCTTTTATTTTCCATCAGACTTAGTCTAGTGAAGAACGAAGGCTATCCTCTGTTATTGACGATTGTGGTTCATTTAGAAATTTAGTCTCATATTTTGTCTTGGGAATTATTGACTGCCTTGTGCTACCAAGACGCGAGCGTCACCGCATTCCAAATTGAGCCATAATAAAAACCCAACTGTTCCGATTACGTACAATCTATAGAACAAAGTGGTGTGGCTGAAAATCCCAGAAAAAGTGTCAATTTAGATTGGAATAGTTCTTGGATTATTCTTCATTCCCTGTTCATCAATAATGGAGGCCAAGCGGAGTTGACAGGAAATTCGATCTAGTCGGGCGATATATCACTGGGGCTGCCACGACCAATATATGTACAAAATGCTGAGCACTCATACTAACGACTGACAGTATTAATCACAGTGGCTTTCTATGCAATGTCGTTAATTAAAGTTCTCAGCTCTGATTCCCAGCAAACAGAACGTTATTATAACGTTATCATAACGTTTCTGAATCCCCAGAGAACGCTACGGTAACGTTATGGTAACGTTATAAAACGTCATGTGTTTGCCGGGTGGTCAATGCTGTAAGTGTGATTCATGATCACCAGTGACTACAACACGTACAACCTTCTGATTAGGATCAATTTAGACCTTCATTTGTCTACTTAATTGCTGACCACGTAATCCACACTTCTGAATTTAGATATAAGGGCCGATTGAAATTTGACCTCGACGCATTTTTTTACCGAACATTGATGCATAGAAAATCTAAATTGTATAAGATGATACCATTTCCTTTGATTGCCTATGTACTTGAAGAAGTCATGTTCACACCACATCGTCTATATTAGTAAGTACATAAATTAAATTACATAATATATGTGTCTTTAACAGCGAGCCACACCGCTTTTTATGAGAGCTAAGCGCTCCAGATACCAATTTCGAATTGCGGTTTTTGTTTAAGGTTTATCCTGACAATACCTTGGTTTTTGACTACGTATGTATGCGGTTTTCACCAGGTTTTAATCGGGTTTCTTATCGGTTTATTGCTCTAAAACTGCACTAACTTAAATAGCATTTGGTGAACGAAAGTCCCTGTTGTCTAACCAGTGCTAGGACGCATGCGCAACCATCCAATTTTTTCATTGTGATGAAAACAAGTGGATATCCATTGACATTTCGATGCGAATTATTAAAAAAAATTCTTCACAAATTGTGAAGCCACGCTTTTTATCTGAAATGCATACATCAAAGGGTACCGTCATATAGTGATAAAAGCACTGAACTACTTCTACACTAGCCGTTTCTTTATTCGATAAACCATTCGGACCTGTTACGTCGATGATGCGATGGCACTGTTTAGTAATCGAATGGAGAGTGCAGTTAGGAAATTAAATATAAAAGTCTGATGAGGTTTTGGGAGTCAGCGGTAATGATCGGCGTTGGCAATAAGTCAGATATGAGTGCATTGGCTATATATTGGTATCCGCCAACTCGTTATATTCTCATTAGCCCAGCGAATAAGGGATTTTTGGGAGAGAGGTGGGGATAGATACATGTATGTGCATTTAGATAACCACATGTAAGGTGTTAAAATCGTTCTGCAGGGGATGCTTAGTAAAGCGCACTGCAAAAATCGAATGACTGAAAAAATACTCGACCATTTTTCTATTACGTATATGTAATCATACGGGAATAAACTCCTTTTTGTCATTTGATAATTTTATTTGATGAAATAGGAAAATGGCAAATAATTGATTACCAACTATATGAAAATGAAAGGGGATCTCTCTAAACAATGGTTACTATTGCAGTGAAACATATAAAAGCATATTCCTTAAGTGGCTCTATGTAAAATACGTGCACTCTTCAACTTCTTTGTATTTTTTTCACATTCAGAAAATGACAGATTCAAAACAAGGGCAGGATCAGGAAGAGGACAACGACCTCGACTTCGACACAGAAATTCCCGCCTTACCCCCAGATGGAGGCTACGGCTGGGTCATACTGGTTGCGTCATTCTTTTGCAACGTCTTAGTAGACGGCGTGTGCTTTTCCTTTGGAATATGGTACGTGGAGTTTCTGGCAGAGTATGGAGACAGCAAGAGTAAGACAGCCTGGGTGGGCTCGGTCCTCAACGGCATGTATCTTACCATGGGTGAGTATAGACGTCGCCACCAATCTTTTCCTTTACGTCAGACGTCACTGGTGGCGGTGCCATTTTCAAACTTTTATTTTAGCGTTAAACATTATGATATTCATTACAGTCATGCACCTACGCTCTGTAAAAATACGCACACACATATACACACAAACACAGGCACTTAATTTCAAACACATTTACACACTAAGACAAACGCCCTTGCACGCACACATTTCAACACGCGCACACGTGCACAGGAGCTTGAGCACTGGTTGACAATACATATGTCCAACATTTGTCAGAATTTAAATGCATTTTTCTGTTGTGTTTTCAAGGTCCGGTGGCCGGGGCACTATCAAACAGATATGGCTGCCGCAAGGTGACCATCGCCGGTAGCATCATCTGTGCTATAGCGTTCGCACTCGCAATATTCTCACCCAGTGTCTCGGTTTTAATTATCGTCTACGGAGCACTAGGCGGTACGTCACACTAGTATATGCAGCAGCAATCATTGGCGTCGTTATACCATTGAGCTCTTATTTGGGAGCACAATCTCCCGTGTTAACATAACACTTTGAGTTTTGTAATACATACGTTGTACTAATATCACTACTGTCAAGGAAACGGTTAAACAACAGCCTGTCAAAGTGAAGTTAAGCCATTTAATGTATGTAATTAACTACCCTGTTCATAATTACAGTATGGCTGTATCAGTTATGGTTTAAAGGAACGTTTCATTTTTTACCAAAATGTTGTTAAAATGTTGCATATTAGAGGGATTTTATCTTCAACAATTGCATGTTGTACATTGTAAATGACACCTCATGTTGGTTACACTTTACCTACGCGCTACTATGAGTTTTACTTTCTTTTGGGTAAATATATTGTTCACTGCCCTTTTTTCTTGATTTCCTGTATATATTCAGCTGATACATATATTGTAACATCATTTTCTACAAAAACACACGTATTCTTTTCTGGGTTTTCAGGATTTGGGTTCGGTCTGATGTACCTACCGGCCATTGTTATGGTAGGCTTCTACTTTGAAAAAAAGCGTGCGTTTGCCACAGGCATCGCCGTGTGTGGGAGCGGTGCAGGAGCGTTTGTGTTTGCCCCATTATGCAAGGCACTTATAGACAACTTCGCGTGGCGAGGGGGCACCTTGATAGTTGCCGGGCTAGTCCTCAACGGCTGCGTCCTTGGCGCCCTCTTCCGGCCACTTGGGACCGAACCACGTAAAAAAGTCCTAGACGTCGAAATGGAGGACTTTTCCGAGAAAGAAACCACAAAAATTAAGAAGCCGGACAATGCTTTACAAATAGTGGAGAAAAACGGGCGTGATTTGGACATTAAAGACATAAGCTCGGCACCTGTGATAAATATGGACAATGGAAGTCAGAACTTACGGCGGCCAAGGGGTGTCTCTTTTGACGAACCAACGCGCCCAGCGACAAAGTCTCGTGCTGGCCCAGGCGGCAAACCTATCCCAAAAATATTAGTTCAGGAGTACGCTGACAAAGAACATGCAAATGGTGACAGTAGCCCAACCGGAAGACCGCATCACGTGGTCACAACCGTGGAAGAGATCAACGCATCGCCCGTAGGGAGTCAGACATGGCGAATCAGCCAAAGCTCCACCTCTATCCGCAGTCATTTACAGCGTCCCATGTACCGCAAAGACATCTTCTACAGCGGAAGTATCTTGCATCTCCCGGAGTACCAGCAGAGCACGTCAGTGGAGGACTATATTAAAAGTACGACGTCACTTCCGCCGGCAGTCCCACGGGTGGAACCTTACCTATGCAGATTTATCCCCGAATCCATGCGCGATATTCTGATGGAGATGATGGATTTTTCTCTACTTAAATTGCCCCCTTTTACATTGTACGGCATATGTTGCTTCTTTTCAATGGTCGGTAAGTTATGCTGGCATATATCAGAATGATATCTTTTTGTTATATTTTAAGGGGATTTAGCCCCGGGGTATTTTAATTAAAGTATCAGACACATAAGACTTTAACATTTCGTGATTTAATCTTAGCAATTGAATGCTGAGGGTGATTCTTATAATATAAAGACATTCGTCATTGGATACGTTAATACCAACGTATAATAAGATGGAGTCTTATCATCTATAAATGGCAAGTTTGTTAAGCGTGATCAATAGAATTTTCTAGTATCATTTAGGGCCATTAATTCGCTATCTTTGCAGAGAAAATTGCAATAAATCCATCACGCAAGGTAGTTGTCAACTATGGAAACGGAATTCTGATTCAACGCATTTTACCTCAGCAAGAAGTGACGATTATTTGAATATTTAGGGTACTTGCTTATTCTAGAATATGCTCTTTTATATGTTTTGAATAAAATTTTAGGTTTCTTCATTCCGTTCACATACCTTCCCGACTATGCGCAATCAGTTGGGGTTCCAGGAGGGGACGCCGTGTTCCTACTATCCATTATAGGAATATCAAATACTGTAGGCCGTATAGCCTCTGGTATGTATAATTTTTGCTTGTACGCATTTCTTGATTATAGTATGTACCGGTAGCATCACAGGGGGAAATAAACTTGATAACTTTCATATGTCATCAGTTTTTTATATATAAGATCACTATATCCTGGGTAACTTCATTCATTTATTTTGCTGCCATACCAGCATGTCAACTCACTTCCTAAGGCCTGCTCTAAGCCCAGTGATAATAAGGAGTTTAATTTCCCCATCAAAAAATGAAAACCACGTGCCGATTGAGGTTAATTAAACTATATGTTTTCCATTGCATCCCACGCGTAAAGTCGACCCACTGTCCGCCAGTTTTAAGGGATATCATATTTGTTATCGAGGCAAAATGTTTTAAACTCAGTACTGTCTTTCAAGTAAAATTTCGGTTATAAGCAGATACTGGAATATTGGCAACACCAAAACGAAATTCGGAACCTTTGCCAGTATTGGCGTATTTTGCATCATTTTACACACATGTAGGTCCTACTTTATTCATACCAGCATATTTGAAGGACAAATATTTGTATTCAGCACGATACTATAACTGTTACTTTTTTATGTTTTTTTAGGATGGGTTTGTGACCATGCTTGGGCAAATAGTCTCGTCATCAGCAATGTGGCGTTAATCGTGGGTGGTACAGCGACCATGTTGGTGCCATTGTGTACGACGCATGCGCTTCTGGCCGTTTACTCTACGGTTTTTGGCCTCTGTATAGGTATGGTACACAATATCCGGAGCACGCATGCGTTTTCCTGCTTCTGATTACGATAGCGAGACAATTAAGCCCGTGTATTCTTCGTGCTTCAGCTGCATGGTAGAATAAAATAAGAAAACAACAGAATTTCTCACAAGCGTTTTTTCAATGCTCTAACGTTTTCAAAGTTCTAAATCATGTACAGTAATAGTTTTTTTGACTGTTTGACCTTAAGATACATTAAAAGCGAAAGAACAACTGTGCATATTCCTGTAATGCATATACATGTAAATATAACAAGCTCCTTTCAAAATTCAAAGAAAGTCAACTTGAAACAATGAACAAAATTATTCAGCGGACAGTAAAAAAAAAGACTTTAAAGCTGCACATTTCTGGTCGTAAACTTGACCTCCTTATTCATCCGCCCACTTCGAAATGAAACGAACGAAATAAGGAAACAAAACCCCGGGATACTGGCGTTTCATTAAGTTGTTCTATTTGATAAGTCATACCATTTGAAACTTAATGTTGGTGTTTGATCGGATTTAGTGGCAATAAATTTGACATGTCTACTCACTTAATATACATCTATAAAGATGATTACTTTTAAAACATAGGCCTATAGTGGAAACCAGTCAGATAGAATTCTTCTCTCATCCGTCATTCATTAATAGCATCATTTACCTTCCAGCTGCCTACATTTCTCTCCGATCCATCATTCTTGTAGAGCTGTTGGGGTTGGATAAACTTACCAACGCGTTTGGTCTCATCACGTTGTGTCAGGGTCTTGCCAGCTTCATCGGGTCACCAATAGCAGGTGAATATAAACCATACCATTTTTGAGTTACTGACAGGTAAAGTCAGGCGTCCTGATCTGTCGGGATGTTTGCGTGTTTTCTAAATACCACACACCGTACTTTGTATTCTCTGTTCACATAAGGAACGCCAGGGGTCTCTTACAAAGTTTGTGAATACAATTTTGTTAAGTGCTTTTTCTAGAGACCCCTGTGAGGGTAATTGGGTAATTACTTCGTAGGATCTCCTCTTTGCTGGCGGATCTAGAATTTTGCGCGGGGTGGGGCGAGGGGGGGGGGACAGGGTTTAAGGTTTATTTTAAATTGTGGGGGACACCTCTGAAGCTAAGGGCAGTGGCATCCCCCTGGATACATCCTTGTTCATTAGTGTAGTGTCGACTTACACTGAGAAAAGTACGCTAGGTTCTGAGTGTTTAAAGTTTGTGCTGTTTGTCAGTATCGTCACTTCTGACCTCGTTTAACCGTCCACATTTCAGGAGGGTTGTACGATGCCACGGGAAGTTATACTATTTCTTTCGTCTTTGGCGGTGCCACGCTGGCCGTGTCGGGTGTGCTCTGTTTCCCACTGTACTGTTACGAGAAATGCTGTATGAAGAAAGGGGAACACCAGGCAGTCCCCGGGGAGGATAATGGCGATGCTCAGCCCAGCTAAAACCTACCATCTGTCATTGATGTAGCGGAAAATATTGCCATGGAAATGGAGTGGACGAGCAAGAAGAAAACACTAGTTTTTCTGCCCCGGGGAAAATAAGTTTGTTGTGGTTTATTTGAGGTGATAAAAATGTACGGAAAAACAGGAAAAAATCCTAGCGCAGAAACATATTCACTTGCTGTCCACCCAGGGTTGATTTGCTAAGGAAACTTAAATTGAACGACACAATATCGAGTAATGTTTTGCTCGGCACATTACTGAATTTGAGAGGACACGTTTAATTTAAGTACAACATTAAGAATGTTAACAAATTGCCCTAAGAAGGACACTGATACGTTGCTTTTTCCCTTGAACGATTTTAGTTATCTTATGCTTGAACTGCGCTATTTCGAAATATACAGATTGTATCGGGTACCAGGACGAGGCGTGACTACTGTGCTTATTGCAGTTTATATGCACAGCTGGCATGCCCCAAAACCAGCTTTCTTCAGTGAAAAAATAAGACAAAGCAAACCATGTTTCCACTGGTCCCATGTAGTCACAAGCTAACGAGAGAACGTCGTTGCAAAACCGCAGGTACTGGAATCCCGATATATTACAATTATTAGTATTGGAGCCTTAGATTCAGATCTATGAATTCAAACCATAATAATATACTTTTTATTTCTTCGACTAAAAGGTGAAATGTCTACATGAGTTTAGTATGGATTGTTAAAAGTGGTTTATTGTTTAACATTTGTTTGTTATAATGGTATATCCCTAATCTCTGCCACCCTTTTTGTCCATGAAAGTTGTTATACAATATTTGACTTGCGTGGTAAAAACTGCCATACAACTGGTTTGCGTTATGAATAAGGTATGAGAAAACAGCTTTTTTATTTGTCAACTTACTGCCTTTAGACGTATTTGCTTCAAGTGCTATTTTGTTTTGTAGGAAATATTTGCAATTAGACTTTTAAAATATATAGAGTGTTATTGGATCGACGTTTATGAAACATTTTTTCCAAGATATAACGACACAGAGAATGGCATGCGATAGTCACAGAAGAGAATGGCATGCGATAGTCACAGAAGAGAATGGCATGCGATAGTCACAGAAGTATAGGCCAGAGGTTGAAAGCTTATCTTTATTATGCATTTATTTCTACTTTCAGCTGGAAACAAAATATGTTGCATTTTAAGTGTATATTTGTACCATTAGTTCTACGCCCAACTTCAGACCTAATCTGAAATATTTTGAAAATGTAGCACTTTAGTATCCATGTACATGTATGTTAGATTTCAGCTGGAAGCAAAAATAGTGAAATCATGCCTATAATTTTGTAGTGATAAATTTACTACGGGTTTTAGACTGATCACATTTGTGAAAGGTTCCCGTTCTTTTCTTATACCTCAAATTGTAAGTACTGCACATAACACAATAATAATAATGATAATAATAATTATTATTCTCATTTATAGTAATCATAAAAAATTGAACATGTGATCCTTATATCTATTGTAAATGGTTTACGAAAACACAAAGTTAATTATACAGATGAGTGTTTTTATGTATTATATTAGTACGCTATTAGTACGCACGTCTCTTGTATGTCTAATTTTACGTTTAACCGTCGAATTGGAAACAGCTGTCCTCGTTTGTAAAGTTACTACTATTGCGAGTTTCCCATCTTTAAAATGTATCCGTACTGAGCCTCCCGATGGCGTTTAAGTCTTTAAAGGCCAATTTTTTAAAACTAATAATTAGAAACACTTCATATGATCGAATGGTCAGGATGTTCAACGCAAATATCACTTGTAATGTACTTGTAAGAAGTTGGAAGCCGATGAGTGATTCTTTTGTTATCATAATAATTATACTTATAAAAAGTTACATAGGCTTTTTGTTTTAAACCTGGTCGACAAACGGTTAATAGCTTTTCTGGGTTTACATGTACCTAGAAAACACATTGTGGCGGTAAACCGAGCGCGCGATCGACAAAATCGTATATCAAAATGTTGAATTTATTTTTCTTATTTTCTTAACAGACACACGTATGGAATCGGATGTGTGTAGAGACAGGTGTCACAATGCACTGGAATGAACCTTGGTAGAATTACCACAGTACTTAACGTTTGTGAAAGAGAGGGTGAAAAAAGTTAACTTATTACTATTTATAGACCAGAACATTTTAAGTTAAGTTAACAATTAAGCAGGCCTAAGATTACTGTACGTGACAGAGAATTGCGTTGCAGACCTTCCACGAAAAGGTCCAAATTACAGAGAAATCTATTTAAAATACTGTAATAATATGGAACAACCCCCTCCCCCAGTCTGGGAGGGGGTAGTGATTGAAATCTGCGGTCGATATGATTGATTAATTGATTGATTATAAAATGGGTTCTTTAACTCCGCTGAAAATAATATACCCCCCTAGCGGAAAATAAATGAGTGAATGGGTAAATATATAAGTAAAGTGAATAAATGCATAAAATGCAACCAAATGCCATATGTGGGTGGATGAGACTACATGTTTATCTTCAACTTATAAATTTCTAAATGATATTATCAGTCCCGGTATATTTTGCGCGTTTCATTATCTTTATGATATGCAAATAAGTAGAGGAAGAAACAATGAAAATTCCACCATTTGCAGCAGACAATAAAACAACTCGCAACGCTGATAAGGATCGTATCTTTGAATTTTTTAGTGGATTATTTTTTCATTGTTTTCATTTTATACTTTTATGGTATTCATAATCGTAACAGATAATAATAATAGTTTTGATGCATGACAAATGGCTGGCGACTCTGATATACAAATGGCAAAATGGACTGACAGAATGACATTGATAATAACTAGTTTACAAATATACAAAATGTACTTTATATATGTAGGTGCTTCTTGACGCCTCACTGTTTTGGTTAAACGCAATGTATCTTTCAGTTTTTTTTTATCATTTGAACAGGTTTCCCCATGTTCTGTTCATATATAACCCTGTTGGGAACAAAATCGCCACCTGGCGACTAAAATTATACCTGTTGTGTGTCACGACAACATGGTTAAAATACCATCAACATCCAGAGTAACAATTGCATTGGATTTTTCTTTAAAAATGTGACATACTCATTATGTTATGCGACCATGAGTTTGTTAAAGGCCTTCACAAGTATACATACAAATATAATTCATCCACTTGGTCTTTTTTTTACCAAGTGCAAAAAAAAGAGCATTTAATGGCATGCTTTTGGTAATTGTGCACAGATTCAAAGGCAACAGGTAATGGAAAAATATACGACCAAACTATCGCCACTGAGTATGACTGAAGTTTAAACTTCATTAAAAAATGAAATAAATTTTAAAATCGTAATACAAAAGAGGGCGCTCTGACACCTAGAGCATCACAACGTGTTGGTTGATAAGATTGCGCGAGCACTGGAATAAGAAAGAGTTTTATGACACTGAGAGCTCGTGCCACGTTCAGTTGAGTACCTTAGAATAAAGTGAGAATTTTACGTTCAATGGACATCCATGCAATGTTACCCTCGGGCACTTCCTTCAACATAATACAGAAAATGAGATCATTGTGAAATAAACTATACATAATAATGTACACATAAGTGTGGTAAATCATTAAATGTCGACTTCACCATAAGTCTTGCTACTGCTGTCCCTTTAGAAGTGGAATCTATTCTACATAATCCCCTATTTTTTCTCTTTCTTTTTGTTCATATAGGAGCACCTTTGTGAAATAAAATATCCGACAAATTGTTTTCTTTTCAACAGGTTATGGCTACATATACTCCTCAACATCAGTATGATAAGAAATAAAATATTCCTTAACGAAGTACTAACATATAACATGTCAAAACAAAATTAAGGATACTACCACATAATTGGTATAATATCAGAAAAGTATACTGTGGCGTATACGAAAACTAATGGTCTTTCCATGAACTTTTGTTAACTAGATATTAATGAAAGTATCACCGCATTCTGGCTTGCGAGAATCACCCCCCTCCCACTCAACTTCAACCCCCGAACCCACACCCCCGAACCCCTAACCCCTTATACTTTGGCAAATCACACTTCGTAACAAGTCGAGTGAATTCGGTCTATTTCGGCATATTCCGTCCAGCAGAATACGGTGATATGGCAGTGGTTTTCACCTATACAGTCGTATACCAATTATAACAATACATATAAATGTGCCTAATTTTAGAGGCATTTTTATCCAACTTTAAAATATTATCATTGGCGCTCTGTGAATAAAATGTTGTTTGACATCTTTGTACTCCTTATAGGAGAGCAGCAACCAACGGTTGCACAACGTTTCGACGTAAACCTCCATAACGTCTGTTCAATAATGTGTCCTGTGTACCGCTCGTTCTGTAATGACCTTATTGGGGGCCAAAAAATATACGTCATTGTGCTGTGAGGAAAATGCAAAAAGAACGTTAGCATTTCGCTTCACTCCAACTGAAATATCTGCTTTAAATATCTATTCTGAACACTTAAAGGTGGCCATTGAACACTTGAAATAGGTTCTTGCTCAATCGAAGCGGCTTTGTGGCCAGACACGCTGTACGGAAAATCTGGTTCTTCATCACAGGCAATAAAATGTGGAAGAACCACCCGACTCACAAAACGTCTTTGTGTCACTACGTTTAACTTGCAGGCACCATCGTTTTTCTTTTACATGACGGATTCCTTGGATAACAGCACTTCCACTTCTTTCACTTCCCCCTCTTGCGGCACGTAGAGACCCTGCATTTTTTCCAGATGTTCTTTAGGAAGTTGGATGGTAATGTGAACTGGGGCTGCGGCACCGGAACACTCGCCCTTTTCTATTTTGCCATAACCGTCTGTGTATTCCATTCCCCTTTTCTTTTTGTCTGAGAGTTCCCAGTTTCTAATTATCCTCAGTGGCAGCACCAAGAGCCCAGACAGCGCGATAAGAGTCCCCGCGGCGTAAAATGCATCGTCCAGACTGCCGCTGCTGTCGAATATCTTACCTGTAATTAAAGAACAACAAATTGGGGATTAGCTTCATTAGTCGCCATTTACTGGTAAAAATATAAATGAAAGCGGAATATATTTCATGCGCTAATGCTCTCTTTTTATTAATCAAGTCGACATAGATCATTTGGACCCCAGCGTGCCAAAATTACACCAAAATTGCTACAAGAATACCATTTCTTTCTAATTTTTGCACTATTCTTTGTTAGTTCATATTATCTCCGATTAAAAACCACCGCGATATTATATTCAATACAACTACCTCCTCAATTATCATATATGACATTGTTTTTCGCGGATTAACGAGATGTATTTTTCATTTCAATGATAAAGAATTAAGGGGCTATCACTTACCAGCAATAGGCGTTCCCACCATGGCCGCTACTCCTTGGAGAAGTATGAGAAGGCCAAATGCATTGGTCAACTTGTCCAGTCCCAGGAGGTCAACCAGAATTATTGACCGCAATGATACAAAGGGGGCTGAAATAAAAATAGAGAACAGACTTATTAACCGCAATAATACAGGAGGCGATAAAAAAGCGAACAGAAATATTAACTGCTATAATACAAAAGGGGCTAAAAATAGAGACCAAAACCACTAATCGAGAAGACACAAAAGAGGCTGACATAGAAGAACAGAGTTAT